CAAATATATTTCAGAGCAAGCTTCGCGACGCCTTTCATCAGTGAATCCCATCTGTTTTGTGGCTCTGTGGAATGCTGGCCTCTCGTTGTGCGCACATTTTTAACCAAAAAAAAAAAGAAAAACCCCGGCGCCTCCGCCTCCCCCATGCATATCGTGACTTATGACTTTGTTCCCGAACAAATTTACGCTCTGACAGGCCGATGTTGGTAGAGCAAAAAAAAAATAGAAATACGAAAAAATGTTTAGGGACGAAAACCGAACGAGAACCGTCACATTATTTTTATTCTTGCCGCGGAAAAATAAAACGTGAAAGATGAACAAACCGCTTCCACGATATGAACGTTATTAGGTTTCACAAATGCTCTGCTATTACATGTATACGTACATTGTGCCAACCCCCAGAAGCTTGTATTTGGTAATATAATTTTGATTAAGGTTCAGACCCTTTTAACCCACCGATGTTTCAACATATTTTTGAGTGGAATTACTGGTGGATATTTTCAATTAAACTATATGGTGAAATCCTTTTAATCTCGCCCGATTCAATATAGAAACTCCGCAATTACCTCGTATATTAAAGCATTATGAAATTTTAACAAGGTTTCTTCCCCAATTCCCCGATGCTACCCGTAATATCATTAAGCAGATACTTCAAATACATTCTGTGAAGAATATTCGACGTTTTCATGGCATACTTAATATTCAAATAGAAATAGATTTTTCCAATAAAGTACAACTTTATCAAATAAACTCTTGAAATATCTTAATGAATTGCTTTGCAGGTGTTCAATAAAAACGCAGGTGTACACGCAGGTGTTCAATAAAATGCAGGTGTACACGCAGGTTTTCAATAAAAACACAGGTGTTCTATTATAACGCAGATGTTCAATAAAAACGCAGGTGTATATGCAGGTGTATACGCAGGTGTTCAATAAAAACGTAGTTGTTCAATAAAAATGCAGGTGTACACGCAGGTGTTCAATAAAAACGAAGGTGTACACGCAGGTGTTCAATAGAAATACAGGTGTACATGCAGGTGTTCAATAAAAACGCAGGTGTACACGCAAGTGTTCAATAAAAACGCAGGTGTACGCGCAGGTGTTCAATAAAAATGCAGGTGTATACGCAGGTGTACAATAGAAATGCAGGTGTACACGCAGATGTTCAATAAAAACACAGGTGTGCTATTATAACGCAGATGTTCAATAAAAACGCAGGTGTACACGCAGGTGTTCAATAAAAACACAGGTGTTCTATTATAACGCAGGTGTTCAATTAAATCGCACATTCTTCGCAGGTGTTCAATAAAATCGCAGATGTTCAATTATAACGCATTACAAAATTATTTATAATAAATTATTGTAATAATTATAAAATAAAAACAAAAATTGATGATGACTATAGGTCTTACAGCATTTCCTCGCATAGTTCAGTTCCTCCAATATTCCGGACTAATTGAGGACTTTAAAATAGCATACAAATAAACTATACAAAATTATTTTTATCTTACTCAATTATAAAGTAGTTTGTTTTAATTTTTTAAACCATACTATAGTGAATCCAAAGTTATCAAAAACGCACTATGCGAGGCATTACTGTATTTATACCTAATATCATTTATGTTGAAAAAATATCATTTAAGTTGAAAGTAATTTAAATGTTACGACGTATATTGGATATATCTTTTTTTGTGTGAAATATTTGATATTTACATTAAACAGGTATTGACACATTTTGAAGATAAATAATTCAGTAGGCCATAAATATAAATTCAGAGATGAAACAGGTGACTACGGGAATCACATCAAACGGTATCCTCCTGGGATCATTTTTTTCCCTCTCACGCTTCAAAATAAATCATTGATAAAACCTGTCTCTTCGCAAAGTACGAAAGCGAAATGTGAAAAGAAATATACATCTGATAGAAAATAAATGGACGTAAAGTATTTTGTTTATATACGTTGGCATACATTAAAATGTTATAGTTTGGAGTGTAATTAAGTATAGGTAACATAATGCTTGAGCCTAGGTGGAACAGCATCCGGGCAATTTGTGTTCGAGCGATAATTAATTTATGGCGAATTTAGATGCCCTATCGCCTGGCAAATGAATTTCTTGCGTGGAGCCGGGGAAAATTAGAGGAGAGGAAGAACAGACCGGTGCGCGGCGGAAACACAGGGAAACAATAATAAAAGAATTATAGCCTGGTGGAATTATATCGTGCGCTGGGCATCGTGTAGAGTAATTTATGAAAATGGTTTACGACGCCCGTGATAGGGCACAATTATAAATATATAGATCCCTAATATAACAATAGAAAAACTAACAATAATTACCGACTGACATGCGAACCTAATTCCCAATTCTGAGCTATTGTTCTTGACGTGATGGAAAATCTGGGTTCGAGTTCGGTTTATAATTTTCGGTCAGTTCCACAACTCGGATACTCCAACTTTGTCTTGTATATAACGTTGAACGAATTTCATGCTCGCCTTATTTACATACAGAGAAAAGGATACTCTTACAGATTTCCACGAAAATTGAACTCGTTGTTTATCCGGTTTAATGTAACAGCTTCCTTCTACGAAACGGATAAGTGGATTTCGGTCTATTTAGATAACAGCCGACTCTTCGCAAGAAATTCATGTACATAAACCGAAGGGGCAATAACACACACATACCACAACCCAATTACTTTGTTACGCATTAGACCGAATGATTGTAGTTAGCCTAATTATCTATAACACTTTGGACTGATTGCCTAACAATCAAATTAACGCTTCCATGGAATCTTCATACATACGTTCGTCACCAACATGAATTCAATTTGAATTAATTCAACTCTATATACTATTACACTATTCAGTATTTTTTTTCAAGTCATTTCATTATTGTAGTCTTATTTTAAATACACTTTTAACTTGATCTTAGTTTTGCACAGTTTAATAACTAAACTGGGTTAATATGAATATTTTCATCAATCATTTATATTTTTTCTTAGATATTTTTTGTAAGTGAGAATATATATGAATTATTAATTAATAAAACAAAAAATATTAATATTTATTAGTTAAAATATGTGTATACTATTTTTGTATATTCTAGTATAGTCTAGTCTATGTTTTTTTTATTATTGATATTTTAATTCATAATAAAAAATAAACTTTTATGCGAGTAAAAAAAGGCTATAAAAAGAGGAGTTCAGAAGGTTTACGTAAATAAGAAAATAAATAAGTAAAGACACAGGGCTTGAAATTAAGTCTGAAAAGTTAGGAGAGGCCATCGAAAGTGGGGAAGCTCGAGACGTTCATCTTCTTTCCAAGAATATCTCGAATAACGGCACTAATTATATTCCGTTGGTGGAACAGATTACGTTCCCACTTGATCCGTTTACACAGAAAGAATAGAATGCTTTTTTTTTGAACTTCCCTCCTTTGATGTAAGCTGCGACTTATGAGCCAACACTATTATCTTGACTTCAAAGTGTCAGAGCGCGTAACGTTTTTGCTAATAATTTGATGATAATTAACATCATAAAAGCTCTCCGTCGTGCAACTTGTGAATACAATCATAAATTTTCCATTATCCGTCAAATTATGGATAAGCACAAGAAAATGTTGGCAAGCCACCCCTCCGTTGTATAACCCAGTCATTTCCTCTCGCGGATCCTTTATAAATATAGTGTAATTAAATGCTGGCCCGTCACGGGATTCTGTATAATCTGTCAGCGAAAGTTTTTAATTTAAAGGGCCGGATGTGATTAATGCATCGACGGCTTAAAGGGGATCCGGGATTCTCCTGTTTCTTTCAGACCTATTAATGAGATACACGCGAAATGCAAATTTCATATTTTCCAACCAACGAAGGTAATAATTTTTTAATTAATTCTTGTCAATTTCTCTAATCGACTAATTAATTACTTATAACAAAAAGTATTAATTAATTGGTAAACACTACTAATATAAAAAAAAAACAAACTAATGGAAAATATAATCGATTCAATAATTGCTTTAATTGGTGAATGCGATGGGTATATAATTAGAAAGGATTAAACTGCGATTATTTATTTATTATTGGAGAAACTATGCAGCTCAAGTTTAATTAAAATAAGATCCATCTGAGTGGCAATTTTCGAGGGTGGATTTGATTGGTGGCTACAGGAAATACGGCTTTATGTAGCGTCGGTGAGGAAGCGCGTTTCCCCCAAATACGAAAATTACATTTTCTGCTAATAACAGTGGATTTGTTTGCATGGGAAATGTCATTAAGGAAATTCCAATATATCGGTTTAAATGGAGTTCGGGAGGAAGAGCACATAACTTCGAATTCACGGCTCGATCACACTTAATATAAGCCCTTCCAAGCAGCAGGAGCTTTTTGAATTTCAAATTTCGCGTCTTAAAGACGTCCCCGGCCTCACGCACTTTCCCTGCCGCCAATGAAATGCAACTTACTTTGTCAGCCTAGGTAGGTAGGCATAGCTCTTTTGCCGCCGACAGCCCATATACATCCTTCGATTTTGCTGACGGCGGATCGCGCGACACGCAATGTTTGAAATTCAAATCGGGGGTGGATTTAGACTCCCCCACGAAGTGTCATCTGGATACCTGGCTTCTTCCGTCCCTTTCGATAACCATAAGAGGCAATTATTTATATTAGGATTTGGAAATCTCACCTGCACCGCCGCAGCAGTCACGAACGCCGAGGATATAATATAGCATTTAACGCGATCCAATTTGGAAATGTATTCTACGTCTTACTTAAAGTCCTCCTCTCTCGACGACCCGCAGGATCCTTTTAAATGCGAATCAATATATGCAATACATTATCAGCAGAGAAGTGAATGAAAGACTACCGAATGGTGCGAGGTGTTCAAGTCTTGCACCAAAAGTTGAAGTGTATTACTGAGTTGAAAGGCAATTCACATTTAATTCAATTTTCAAATTAACCCAGAAAACCACTTATAGAATACTTTAATTTATATTTTTATTCTGTTTCAGGACAAATACTACTCCAGTAAAAAAGTAAGTACAATTTTATATTTGATATAATAGAGAAAAAGAACATTTCAATAAGAATTTCAATATGTATTCTAAAAGATTATTAAATTTCCTAAAACTTAACATTAACTAAGGTCTGGATTTAACTGAAAATGTTACGATCTGTCAAATAGTCTATTACTTTTGAAAGGATGTAATTTAATTTAATTTAAAAAAATAACACATTGTTACGCCAACACAACAGACTTTAAAAAAAGCAATAAGAATCTTTATTAATTTTCGTTGCAAAAATTAATTAAATCCGAGAATTTATGAAATGATTTAAGGTTGTATTAGGTAACATCTTCGTCTCGGGGATTGTTGAAATTCGCGGCGACTGCGGTCCGACTTTAATACAGTTGAAATGAGAAAGTTCTCAAGTTGATTTTTGTGACCGGCTATAGCGATTACGATGGCGGAGCACGTGTGCAAGTGACGGCCCAGTGATGTCTTTGATCACGTGCGGAGATGGGCTCTGAAATAAAGAGTCCGGAACCGGACGCCCTTGCAGAAAAGAAGTAAAAACGGAGATTCTGCCGCCCCTTTACAATGCCACAACGCTCTAAGTATGGAACCACTGTTATATCACAATGTGATATATGAGTGATTACACAAAAATTGTGACCCATTCCGTGCAGCGTATGGAAGCGACTGCTGCCTCTGCTTTTCTGGATGTCTTCACGTAGCACTAAATCAATCTTGAAGACTAGTTCTCTCTACATGTGTATACGTGGCGCACGCTTCTATATATATGTATATGTGTGTATGCACCGCATAAATTCGACAACATCCCCGTCCGAGACATTACTCAATATCAAGATGAGATTCCTCTCAGGCAGTATTGATTGGATTACGAGCTCGCGCTCTTCGAGGAATTGCATTACCCAAATTCCTCCGTCACACCTTCCGCAATCCGTCAAGTAACCGCATGCGATGATTGCGGCTATCCGAGATTCACTCCTGATGTCAATTAGTTCCGGAATTATTTCATCAATTATGTATGACAGTCAAGTATGCAATTACATTCTTAATAATCCTCACTCCAAAAACACAAATAAATAATGCAACAATTGTAGAAAATTCACAACTCATAAAAGAAATAAGACAAACAATGTTTAAAGAGATGCTAGATGTATAAATCAATAATTAAATTTATATAACTCAATGACCTTATTTGCAAGAAAATTATACAAGTTAAATTTATTGAAACATCCTAAATGAATACATTCAAATGAACTAGTATACATATCACATTAATGCTACGGCAGAACACGTGCAGCCATGAATCCGTGTATTAGCAAGTTCGCATTCTATCTCATTAAAATCAATTATAACTTGTGGTTCAAACTAGTTTAATATGCTGCAGCTTTGAGACATATTGATTAAACATATTTCGTGAAATTTAATATATTTTTAATTAAATTATAAAGTATTAAAATAGTAGTTTGTTATGTAAATAAAAAGACTTCATTTAGATTTTAGTTCAGTATTATAAACATAACGAAACTATCTTCAAGTATAATGTTGGTGTATTATTACTTAAGTTGATTTATTGAGTATGAGAGACTAAATGTTAGATCTTATTATGAATTTGTATTCAACGTCGAATACATGGATTATATAAACGATGGTGCGTAGGCGTAGCTTCTAATGCGCTTATAGGATTAGTTTTGAATTTGATGGTGTAGATAATATCGACGATGATGGGCGGCCGCAAATGAAACAAGTTAGTGCTCTGCGGACGGAATCCAATTTAAAGTGTTAGTAAGTATTCAGCAAGTGTCCGAAAGGCATTAACCATAAGTAAGCGTGAAGTGGGTCGCTAATAAAATCCGAGTTTCTACTAAATTAGAGGTAATAGCATACGCATCGAAGAGGCCAACTTCAGGGGACGCGCGCATAGTTCGCCAGACATACTTTATTTTTTGTCTCATTTTTGACAAAAAGTTTCGTCTTACTGGGAAAAGCGGCGAACGGAAATGGGGAAATTTGATTATAGGTCCTTGCAGAGGCAGCAGTAAGGACAGAAGGGAGAAAAAGGAGAGGATGCTTCTCTTCTCGAGTCCCGCAAACTTGATATGCTCGAACATGTCACGGCTGACAGGTATTATCATATATCTCCGCTTCCATTTTCCAGGGCCAATATGTGTTTGGTATTTTTGCTCTCACCGAGCACATAACTACACCGATATTGGGATGGGATGATGCAAGAAAAAAAAATGATACTGGAAAATACGACAATGGAACACGAACATGTTGTGTCTCCGCTCTAGGGGAAGACGTTTATATATCCGCTATGAATAAATATATACCTAGTGCACTTTACTTGTAAATATACCAAGTAATCCTCATATCAACCCGCCACATATTTCCAGCCAATAGTTTCCTGGGAACATTGCTTTTCTCGGAATTTTCAAAACTTATATTTTCACATATATAAACCTAAACAATTTTAAATCATTTCAATTCATATTCACAAATACATTACTATAAATAATAATAATTTAGATAATTTCAATTAATAAAAACCATATCAAATCTTTTATAAACGTTATAAATTTATATATTTTATAAAATAAACTCGCTAACATATTTTTATTTAGGAATTTTTGGTAGAGTAAAACACATAAATAACGCACAAACACGCAATCTGTATCACCTAATATTTATTTCTCGTAATTATTTCTATAAATTCTGGATGTGCGCATCCAGTTGAATCCACGCGGGAATCCATCCGAAAAAATAGTAATTAATTGCGCATTTATTCGTTAATACCCGGTGCACATTGGTGCATTTACATAATTCCAAAATAACGGTTGGTCATTGTAGCTATTCACCCAACAGAGCAGTTTTTGCATTATTTTCGTTTGAGCTTGTGTGGCTTTTGCGGGTCGGGATTTAAATCGGAACAAAAATCGCCGGTCGCAGTGCTGAAAGCAATAAACCTCCTTTTTTCCCCCAGCAATTAAGATTACAGCGCAATGCTTTTTGCAAAACGTAACATCATTGCTGTCGTTATCTTTATGATTGCATTGTGGGAACAGAATTGGGACTTCTGCTGCAATTATATGTGTACACAGCAAATGGATTTAGAGTGGAACGATTCTGTCACGGGATCGATTTGAATTTATTCGGAACGACGTATCAATCAAAACCGTTAAATCGCATCGTTATATTCCATACCAGTAAGGAAAGATTTACTCGTATTTTCGGATATAAACTTTTTTATACATATATTTTTTTTTAGTCGATATCGAGATGTTCTATTATACAAAGTATCGATATAAATCATGTATAGGTTTATGATGCCACCTATTTTTGCGAATATATATAAATTATTGTTATAGTTATTTCTCCTTTACGTAGACAGATTTATCTTTCATGCTAATATTATTATTAATATTACATTTTTTGTTTTCTTTATAAGTTATTATTAAAATCTTTATACTAAATATTATTACTTTGTGTTATAGTAATTAGATTATTAATTTTTAGTTGATAAATCTTTTGATGAAAAAAAATATGCACTAATTATGAAAGCTATGAATTTTATTAATTAAAATCGTCGGACGAGTATTTTCAGTATTAATTAGTTTTACATAATTAGGCGTTAAATAATACAATAGATGGCTTCTCGTTGATTAACAATGCGAAGCAGCAGAAATTAGTTTCTGGAAATTCCTTTAAATAAATTTCATCAAAATAATTAATCGCTTCTAGAAATGGACGCATTATCATTGTTGTCTGAAGATTCTGGAATGTGTACTTCTTGTCGACGTATTATATTAAAGGCGGAGTAAAGTATTTATTATTTTAATTAAAAGTGAAGAACGGCTGAGAGGCAGGGCTATGCGAGGTTTTCAGGAAACCTTACGTGTTTTAGATTTAGCAATTACTCGAGCTGTTAATTTCAATTTAGGCTGCCAATTGTTAATTTAGAAATACCCCCGAGGGACGTCGATGGCCATTCAATCTGGACGACTGGCTCACCGCAACCACCTCCTACTACCACTCCATTCCAACTGAAATTCGATCTATATGATCGGCTGTGTGCCGAGTAGAACATTTCAAGATTCGTTCTGGCCTGGCGGTAAATAGTAATTAATACGAAACCTTCTAATCCCACTTCTTCGAGGGACCGCCTGCGTCTGATGAAGAATTATGTCTATCTGCCCACTACATTCCTTCTCAAGACGGATGGCGCAACTTGTCATCAAGGACCTTTGTCCATTAATTAAATGCTAGATGTTCCCCACTTCGCACTACATCATATTTAATCGCTTCTTCCAGTTAACATCTTCATTTACGGTTGAAACTAATTAATTGCTCTTTTTTTTTGTCTTGGTCTCCGCGTAATCCCATTGATAATTTCTCAGCTCGTCTGAATTAATTCCAAAGATATATATCAAAACATTTAGTAACAAGTTTAACACATCATTTTATGGACTGAAAAAACAGTATGTCCTTATGCCCCTAAATTACACCACTGAGACACTCTGTAAGCTTTGAGGATTTCTTATAAATAATCCTGTCCATACGTCTTTAACACATTGTAAAAAAAACATTTAACTTAAATAAACTTTCCGGTTTATAATATATCAAAAGTCAGTTTTATTGTCATAGCAATTCACAGAACTATAAATATATATAGAAAAAATATTGTCGAATATTTTAAGAAAAAAATCTGATATTGATTTTAACCATAGTAATAGAAACATTGTATGAAATGGATTATACGTATTGTATTGAATATTCAGGTTGTATCAAACCGTAACCGCTGGACAGTGATTGTCCTTTAAAAGTGGATGCACAATGTAAGCGAGCGTTGTTATCATGCGGGTCGTGTTTTGTTATTTTGCAAACTAATTGTTTGGTCAAATTAATAATTTATTGTTTGTAATTGCGTGCATTTGAAACTGGAAAATTGATAACTGTTTGATAACGAACGGAATTGTCGAGCCGCTGAATAACGAGATACATATTTG